TTTTGCTTTTGATATCATATCTAAGAATCCATTGCCAAGTCCAAGACCATAAAGACTTATCCCTATAGTTTCTTCTAAGAGTCTTATAGTTTTAGCTCTTACATTTAAGGCTTTGATCTTTTTTGCGTTAATTTTTGTGTGTGGTGTGAGATAGAATTGAAAGTATAAACTTTCAATCTATGAATCTTCATAATATTTTACCATTTGTATACACTAGGCTAATATATTAGATTGTTTATGTAGAGGATCTCGGCATCATCAGATTTAATATTTTTAGTTTATCATTAGTAAGTGCCCTTAAAAAGTCAGGACATGTAGTGATTAACACTGTCCCCAAGACATGCATCTGCACCCATCATGCAATGAGGCAGGTGTGCAGAAGTGAATTCCCAGCGAGTAAGGAGCTTAGCTGGCCCTGCCTCCCCACCTTCTCCTGGCTTTTCCAGTCCCTCATCATGATCCAAAGCCCAGGTATTCTCATTAAGGGCTGGAAAGCATCATTTAAATTTTCGCTGGGCACGGTGGCTCACACCTGTAATCCCAGCACTTTGGGAGGCAGAGGCAGGTGGATCACTTGAGGTCAGGAGTTTGAGAAGAGCCTGGCCAACATGGTGAAACCCCGTCTCTACTAAAAATACAAAAATTAGCCAGGCATGGTGGCAGGTGCCTGTAATCCCAGCTACTTGGGAGGCTGAGGCAGGAGAATCGCTTGAACCCAGGAGGCGGAGGTTGCAGCGAGCCAAGATCACAACACTGCACTCCCGACTGGGCAACAGAGGGAGACCCTGTCTCAAAAAAAAAAAAAAAAAGCATCACTTACATTTTTTAAATTGTACTTTACTGGATGTAATGTACAGAAGTGGTATTAGCAAATTTGGATTTTGTGACAAGTCTCTGGACAACTTCATCCTTGGGGTGATCAAGCACAAGCTGTATGAATATCTACCTGGGATGAGGGAAGCAAGGGAGGGACATGGAGAGGGAGAGAAGAAAGAATAAAAGAAGGAAAGGAGGGAAGGAATCCTACACAGGCTTAAGACTAGAATGGGTCAGTGGTTCCCAGACCTAAATGGCATCATATGGGAAGCAAAAATATACAGACTCCCAGGTCTCCTCTCCAGAGATGCGGGTCTGGTTGAGCCCTGGGAATCGGTAGGTTTCCAAAGCTCATTGGTCTGAGTTGGGGACCTTGAAGGGCATATGGTTTCCAAAGAGACACTCTACAGAGGGGAGATTTGTGCTATGCCAATTCAGGGAGCAAAACCAGGTCTGAGGGAAAAGCTACAGGGAGGAAGAGTGGGCTCAGGTTAAGTTTTTTTCTTGGCTTCTCACCCACAAGGCCAGGGGCTGCCTTGTGCTAGACTAAGTCTGGTCATGGGGGGCATCTGCACAGAGGCTGGGTGCCACGCTTTGGAATCTAGGGCCCAGTGAGGGGCTTTTGACCTTGCCACCCCTCAGATTCTAGGGAGAATATTAATACATGCACAGGGGCCAAAAGAATCACTGTCTAAAGCCAGCACTCTAGCTGTGTGAGCACAGACAAACCATCTCACTTCTTGGGATCCCATCTCTACACTGAGAAATCCAACAAAATTAGGGGTTAGATGAGCTTGATTCATTTTGCTTTCTTTTCCTTTTCTCCTTCTTTCTCTCCTTCCCTTTCTTTTGATTTCCTGGCAGCAAAACATTTTATCCAAATAAAATGCTGCAAACTTCCATACAAACAATGAAAAGGTCTGGGCGTGGTAGCTCACACCTGTAATCTCAGCACTTTGGGAGGCCAAGGCAGGGGGATCACTTGAGGTCAGGAGTTTGAGACCAGCCTGGCCAATACAGCAAAACCCTGTCTCTACCAAAAATACAAACATTAACTGGAGCCAGACGCTGTAGCTCACGCCTGTAATCCCAGCATTTTGGGAGGCTGAGGCGGGCGGATCACTTGACATCAGGAGTTTGAGACCAGCCTGGCCAACATGGTGAAACCCTATCTCTACTAAAAATTAGTTGGGCATGGTGGCCGGTGCCTGTAGCTCCAGCTACTTGGAAGGCTTTGGCAGGAGAATCACTTGAATCCAGGAGGCGGAGGTTGCAGTGAGCCGAGATCGTGCCACTGCATTCCAGCCTGGGCAACAGAGCGAGACTCCACCTCAGAAAAGAAAAAGAAAATTAGCTGGGCATGTGGCCAGCTAATCCTAGCTACTGGAGAGGCTGAAGTAGGAGAATCACTTGAACCTCGGAGGTAGAGGTTTCAGTGAGCTGAGGTCATGCCAGTGCACTCCAGCCTGGGCAACAGAGCGAGACTCCGTCTCAGAAAAGAAAAAGAAAATTAGCTGGGCATTTGGCCAGCTAATCCTAGCTACTGGAGAGGCTGAAGTAGGAGAATCACTTGAACTTCAGAGGTAGAGGTTGCAGTGAGCCGAGGTCACGCCAGTGCACTCCAGCCTGGGTGACAGAGCGAGGCTCTGCCTCAGTAAAACAAAACACAAACAAACAAAAAAAAACCCAGAGGTGGCTACTGGATGAAGTAGCAGTAAAGGGCCTAGAGACTCTATTCCTCCTCCCTCAGTTCCCCTTTCCCCCGACAAAGCCCTGAATTCCTGTGAAGACCTGTTTGGAACTCCTGGGCTAGACTCTAAGATGATGTCACGCACTAGCATGCTGTCAGGTCTAAAATGATGAGGAGCAAAAGAACACTCTTCTCAGGAAGGTTCAAGAAGGTCTGGGCTTGGAGAGCCGGAAAGAGCATCAGACAGGGACAGCAAGAGAAAAGGCTGCCTTCCAAGTTGCACTCTGGAGCTACTGCAAATATTTGACTTAACTCACTGACAAGAGCTTGTCCTTATATCATCATCATCGTCTGCAGTACAGCAATCATTAGTCAACTTGCTCTGGCTGATGCGATGATTCACTGCGATGGGGAATTTGCAGGACACTGAATTTTCCAGGCTGTAGCCGACAAAACACCTACCCTGGGCTAGGATTTCCTGTGGGCGAAGCTAGAGCTGGCGGCCACCTGCTTCCGGTGGCCCCCACAGATGCATGGTGGCTGGTTCATTTTCCATTCAGATGTTCTCTGGAGTTATCTTAAACAGGACAACTAAAACAGTATCTGAAGCCGTTGCCAGGGCAACTTGACAAAGGACTTTCCCCTTAGCTATAATATGTGTAATGTGTCGAAGGCAGCTGGCTCCCAGGGAGAGGAAAGAGAAGGGAATCTGTATAGGTTGCCACTCTTGGTCCTTGGAAGGAAAGCTGGAAGACTCTCTTCTGGTTGAATCAACTTATATAGAACAGGAAAGCAGCTCTGACCCATGCCATAAAAATTCAGGTTGGGGGCAGGGCGCGCTGGCTTACGCCTGTAATCCCAGCACTTTGGGAGGCTGAGGTGGGTGAATCACTTGAGCCCAGGAGTTTGAGACCAGCCTGGACAACATGGCGAAACCCTGTCTCTTGTAAAAACACAGGTATTAGCCAGGTGTGGTGGCGCATGCCTGTAATCCCAGCTATTCAGGAGGCTGAGGCAGGAGAATTGCTTGAACCCAGGAGGTGGAGGTTGCAGTGAGCCAAGATCATGCCACTGCACTCCAGCCTGGGTGACAGAAAGAGGCTCAGTCTAAAAAAATAAAATAAAATAAAAAAATAAGAATTCAAGTTGGGAGGCTAAGGGGCAAACCTTAAACTTTTGTGATATCTGCAGATAGATAAAGGCTTCACTTAAGATCTGTAAAATAGTCATATCTAAGCTGCATGAAGACCTGGAGCTTAAAGTATGTCCTGAAGGGGAAGGAATGGGAAAGATGGCAAGATATTAAAGACAACCAGGGTGTGGGAGTATGTTTAAATGCACACATGAAGCAGGGAGTTTCTGACATATCTGATAGCTCTTCTCTAACAATATCATACTCTCCCACGACCGCAGCCACCTCCACTGAGACCAGCATTAGCTTGGAGGACTAACAGAGACCAAGCTGAACCTGCTCATGGTACTGATGAAAAGACTGAGGCCTATAAAAGGTAACCTGCTCGACGCTTCACAGTGAGGAAAGGGCAAAACTAAGCCAGAAGCCCTGTGTCCTGCTTCCCCGTGGTCTTTCCACTGATCTGGTACCTTTGTCCTGGGGACATCACTTTGCTCTATCTTTGAAAGAGGCATAACCTGGATAGCTTTCAAGATATGCCCCCATAGAGTGCTGAGTGGTGGGGGCCCTGGGCTCTTCCTGCCCTCCAAAGAAAGCCTCTGTTTCCATCGATTTTTATATCCATTTGGGGCCCCACTTAAAATTATTTGAGGGGAAAAAATTCTATTAGTAAAAAGTTTGGAGATCATCAATCTAGCACTAAACACATTAGATGGAGATAATGGTTGCACAACTTTGTGAATACACTAAAACCACATTTTTTTTGTTGTTGTTGTTGTTTGTTTGTTTTTTGAGATGGAGTCTCTGTTGCCCAGGTTGGAGGGCAGTGGCGTGATCTCGACTCACTGCAGTCTCTGCTTCCTGGGTTCAAGTGATTTTCCTGCCTCAGCCTCCCAAGTAGCTGGGATCGGATTACAGGTGTGCACCATGACACCCGGCTAATTTTTTTTTTTCTGTATTTTTAGTAGAGATGGGGGTTTTGCCATGTTGGTCAGGCTGGTCTCAAACTCCTTACCTCAAGTGATCCACCTGCCTTGGCCTCCCAAAGTGCTGGTATTACAGGTGTGAGCCACTGCGCCCGGCCACCACAGGGTTTAAAATAGGATGCTTGAAAGTGGTGAATTTTATTTTTAAAAATTATTTTATTATATATCTATATAAATTATATACTTGTTTAAATTAAAAAATGAAAGGGCCCTTTGTTCACACAAAGGGAGACCCTAAAACAAGCAGTGTGTCACACTTAGGGTTGGGAACCAAATAGAAACAGAACATGACAGTGACGACCCCAAGGTCTCCCTCTCCCCTGCCAATCCCCAGGATGCGGCTGGGAGACCTGGAGCCCCCTGGGCCGCTCCTTACCGAGTTGGTGCCGAGGATCTGCAGGTTGGGCTTCTCCGACTCCAGCAGCTTGGCCACCATCTTGAGGAAGCTCTCCACGAAGAGGTTGATGCTCTGGCAGTGGCAGGCCATGAGCAGCTGGTCCAAAGCCTCCATGGCAATGCACACGTACCTGGGAAGGGCAGCACACGCCGTCACCGGCTGTGGCCCTGCCACCCCATGGCCCGACCGGGGCATGAAAGGTGTCAGTGCAGTGACCTGGGCAATGCAGCATCCGGGTTATGAGGCTCCCCTACAGGCTGCCAACGTCTGGATAGCCTTTCCAACAAGTGTCTGCTCCAGCCCAGAACTGAGTCAGAATGAATCAGGGCTGGAAGGAAGCCTAGGGACCAACTCATCCAGCCCCTCATTTTACAGATTAAGAACAGGAGGACAGATGAGATAGAGCATTTCATGAGTCAACACAAAGAGCAAGATTGATGCTCCCAATAGCAAACTCTAAGTCTAAACTCTGTGAGGTTGGGGAATTATCCAATCGAAGTCAAGAAGTGTTTATTGAGTGCCCACTGTGGAAAGGCTCTGTCCTAGACAGTGCAGGGGGCATAAGGATGAAGAAGGCAGTCCTTCAACTTAACGAGCTGAGATAAATACACAGATATTCCTTTAAAGGGAAAATAAATCCTACAAGAAAATCATGCATGATGTCCCATGAGGTTTCCAAGGATGGAGAGAGATGGCTCGAGTGGGGAAGAAGTCAAGATCTTTATGAAGAATCTAAGACAGGCCTGAGGACCAGCTTTATGGAATAGAAAATTTGCAGGTGTTGTGTCTGGAAGCCTCAGAAGTTCCATGATAAAGTACTATGCAAGCAATATGGTTAGCAGCATTACTATGTTTGGATGATACTCCCTACCTAGGGAATAAGACAGACAAAATGGACACAGAATAAACGTTTTTCTCATGAGGAATGTTCCCTATGTGAACTCAGTCTTTAAACTACTTAAACAATTCCTCTGAAGTCTAAAGACTGAGTGAACAACGTCAGAAACCAGGAATACGCAACATCCAATGGCAAAGAGCCAAGTCCTCTCACTAGATGACTGACAACTAGTATGGTTTGGCTCCACGTCCCCACCTCAATCTCACCTTGAATTGTAGTAATCCCCACAAGTTGAGGGGGACACCAAGTGGAGAGAATTGAATCATGGGGGCGGTTTTCCCCATACTGTTCTTGTGATAGTGAGTGTGTTCTCATGAGATCTGATGGTTTTATAAGGGGCTTCCTCTTTGCTCGGCTCTCATTCTCTCCCCTGCCGCCATGTGAAGAGGTGACTTCTGCCATGATTGTAAGTTTCCTGAGGCCTCCCCAGCCCTCCAGAACTGTGTGTGTCAATTAAAACTCTTTATAAATTACCCAGTCTTGGGTATTTCTTTATAGCAGCCTAAGAATGGACTAATGTAACAAAATAAAATGTCAGCCTAAAGCCTAATATCCTCTACTCTCTATTCACAATTCTACTCTCAGAAGAAGCAAAAAAGAGGGACATGCCATCTCCTACCTCCAGCTCCTCAACCCCTGAAAACAACAATCTCATTTGTTATTCTTGCTGTTCTCTCCTCTGTGCTAAATATACCCAAGCTCTCCCAAACTAGCCTTCACAGGACAACCCCCAATTATCTTAGTCGTCTTCTTCAATGCTTCTCCTAAATCCCAAGAAAAATGCCAAGAATCAAATTCCTAATGAGAAGGAGAATGGCACCTCTAAGCTCAAACTCCATATCTGTTCCAAGAGTGTCACATAACTAGTAATGTCTACATCATAAAACATACATCCTTCACTTACAAAGCATTTGCATTCTAAAGAAAGAGAGGTTTTGTTTTTTGTTTTTGCTTTTGTTTTGTTTTGTTTTGAACTTCTAACAAGGAAGCTGCTGCAAACGTTTCAGAAATTATTCTGGTTAAAATCTTTACATTTTTGGAGTTAAATTTCCCAGGCAGAATGCTAGATGTCTCCCCTAAAATATGTCCCTTTGCCTTTCCCTAGAAATTCAGAATTTTAGCTGTGCATGTGGCTGTTCACTTGGGACTCCATTTCCCAGTCTCTCTTGCTATGAGGTGAGACCACATGACTAAAACACTGCCATTAAAATGAGGGGAAGTGGCCAGGGTATGGTGGCTCACACCTGGAATCCCAACACTTTGGGAAGCTGAGGTGGGTAGACTGCTTGAGCCAGGGGTTCAAGAGAGCCTGGGCAACATGGCGAGACCCCTTCTTTACGATAAATACAAAAATTAGCCAGGCATGGTGGTGTATGCCTGTAATCCCAGCTACTCAAAGGCTGAAGTGGGAGGATCACTTGAGCCTGAGAGGTCGAGGCTGCAGTGAGCCATGATTGAGCCACTGCACTCCAGCCTGGGGGACAGGGTGAGATCCTGTCTCAAAAATAAACAAATTAATTAATTAATTAAGAGAAAGTGATGTGAACAACATCAGCATCTGTTGATTATAAGACACGATTGCCCTCTGTGTCCTCTCTCCCTCCCTCTTCCTACCAGCTGGGAAGTGGAAACAACTGGAGACCCAGAGAGGAAAGCCATGTGTTGAAGATCTCTGAATGACCTCATGGAGCAGAGCCCACTGGCCCACTCCAGACTGATGTGAGAGAGAGGAAAAGCACTTCGATATTGCTGGAGCCACTGTCTTTTGAGTTTCTTTATACTCTAAATAGCACAGGCACCTAATAATCAGGTTTGGGAGTGCTTTAGAAACCGGATGGCACCAATAAAGGTGAATTCTGAGCAATCCAAAGCAAACCAAATGACTGGCCTCATTGGAAAGGGAAGCAAGAGCTAGAAATGTTTCCTATCCTGCTAAATGGGAGATCATTGCAAGGCTTCATGAACTCAGAGTTTGGGCTCATGTGCCCATTACAGGATGGTGATCCTTCTACTTGTAATGTCAAATCATGTGGAATAGAAAAGTACCTCCTGATACAAAGAAAATACAGGGGAGGTAAAGTAAGCAGAAAACTGTAAAGCCTACTTGGGGTGCCCAGGAATCAGGTTGATGTTCCCTAAGTCAAAATAAAGTAGCAAAAGGCCTCTCCTGCAAGATCGCAGCAAAGCTGCCACCACAGGACTTTAAAATGTTAAAGATGCCTGAAACTCTAAAGTCAGGTTCACATGCTATAAATGTAATAAAGGATGAATTAAAAGATTCGTTCTTCTTTATGTCTTGACCCAAATCATATCCATCATTGCATGTTAGGCAGATATTTAAAAACAAAAAATTTCTTTTTTTTTGAGACGGAGTTTTGCTCTTGCTGCTTAGGCTGCAGTGCAATGGCGCAATCTCGGCCCACTGAAACCTCTGCCTCCCAGGTTCAAGCGATTCTCCTGCCTTAGCCTCCTAGGTAGCTGGGATTACAGGTGCCCACCACCATGCCTGGCTAATTTTTTTGTGTTTTTTGTAGAGATGGGGTTTCACCATGTTGGCCAGGCTGGTCTTTAACTCCTGACCTCAGATGATCCTCCCGCCTCAGCCTCCCAAAGTGCTGGGATTACAGGTGTGAGCCACTACACCTGGCCTATTTAAAAATTCTTGATTAGCTAGTCTTTGTCTTTTTTTTTTTTAACAAAGTTTGGGTGAACAAAAAGCATAGGGAGAATGACAATAGGACAATTTCAGGAGCTGTTTCAAGGCTACAACACAAGGCTCCACAATACCTCCTGGGACAGCTACCCAGTTTCAGATATTGCAGTCAGACTGCCTCGTACTTAAGCTAGCTTTGCAAATTCAAACATAAAAAAAAAAAAATTAACAGCAGTCATGGCTTCTAAATTTTTAAAAAGACATCAGCTACTTCTTACGTACCCTTGAGCTAACTTCTATACCAAGCAACCAGAAAATAAAACAGCCTTTAAATGCTGAAATGTTCTTTTCCACTTTTACAAAATGTTTATTTCTTTTATCTAGAATAGCTGAGTCAACTATTATTAAATGATTCTTTAATGATATTAAATAAAAGTATTATTGAATAGTTTTCTGGGTCTACTCACAAATGGATCAAGGCATGCTCTATCCACAGAGTGTTTTTCAAATACAAAGGCAGTCTTGGCTCTTTGAGCTCCTCTGGTGAGCGGGAGCCACGCCTACCATTCCTCCTTGCTCCCGGGACAGCCATTCCTGGCTCTGCAGCCTCGCCCTTCAGAGGCCATCACAATCACCATCCAGGAAACCTGCCGTGCCTTGCAGACCCAGTCCCAGTATGTTTCAGGTCCACTGTGTAGAGACTGAATTCTGCAGGGTTGGGGAAGCAGACTGGGCTGGAGCCCTTCCAAAGGGGACAGGCTTTCCCTGCAGAGAGACCTGGACACCTTCAGGCAGCCAAGCATGGCGGGTAGGAAATGAGGGCAGTCAGCTTGGGATTCTCTTCCCTTATGAATCATCCCGGCATCCTTCTGCATGAAGGGATCTGCGGCATTTCACCATTATTACGGTGTTTAAATGATGTAAAGGAAGGGGTGGGGTTGGGCAAGAGAAGAAACTCAAGGCCTCGCGAGCCCCAGGGCTTAGATTACTGCTTTTCCTCTTCCTGCAAAAAATTCCAGAAATTCCTGATACGGAAAAACCATCTGCTATGAAAAAAAATAAAAAAATAAAAAAATAAATTGGCTACTTACCAACAGTGGAAAGTGGAAAATTTCCATTTTGGTAGAAGGCGAAAATTATGGTAGAAGTGAAACTGAAAAGTAAAGGAGTACAAGGCCCAGTTCTCTGAACACATGATCCTTTGTTCCTCATCTCTGATCCAATAGTAAGGATGGAATGTTTATAATTATGAACTGGAGCTTTTCAAAGCATCTTAGATAATTCGAAGTCAATGGGACCTTGGAAGCCCCGAGTCCAATGCTCTCCGTGTTTGTGCTATTTTATTGTAACCTTCTCGAGTGTGTCTAACCTGTTACACATTCAAAAGGAACAGAATCTGGGATCCCCAGGTCAGAAGGTTACTACCAGCAGAGATCTGATCTGGGGTGGGTGTCCTTGAAGGGGTCCAAAGTCAAAACAGGTCTGAGAATCTGAACTGGCCTAAGAAAGGAGGAGTGGGGAGTAAAGTCTGGGAACCAGGGTTAGTTGGTGAGGAAAGGCAGATCCAGGGTCAGGGATT